TCTAAAAAGTCATTTAATATTACAACATTTTATTTTATTAATATAAATTGATTCGCAAAATCTATTTGTGGGCGATTATATGATTCTCATGATGAGTGAAACTAACCAAATAACTAGGGATTCAATTATAAATTATTTGAGTAATGTGTAATGTGTTCATTTTTTTCAAGAACATCGTATCATAAATGCATCATAAATTATTTTGTAAATCATTTTTAATAAGAGCTGTATTTAAGCTGTTTTAAGAGCTGTATAATGTACTCTTTAATTATCAAAATGTTATATTGTCATATCATAAAATATTTTTATCATGTCCAATTTATAGCGTTAAAATGTTTACATAAAATATCATATTCTAATTAAATAATAATTTTTAATATTTACTGCAAAAAGTTGCTTTCCTTCTTGACAAAATACGTTTAAGCTAAAATTTGTTTTATTTTTTCAAAAAAATGTGTGACCAGTTTAATCGGACAATTAGTCATCTGAATAAATGTGCTTACTTTAAATATACTTGCTAAACGACTAGTTTCAATACTAGTCGCTTGTCTACTAATCGCTTATCACTAATCATTTGTCTTCTAATTCAGACATTTACAGTAGCGGAGAAGAGAACATTCATACAAATAAGATTAGAATTAATTAAAATTATTACTACTGGTTTACAAATTTTATTTAGATGGATTTTATTTAGATGGAGCAGGAAAAACCGGTCGAGTGGATGAATTAATGAACAGGATTTTATATCCTTTTTCTCCTCTCTCAGAATTTAATTACTGATAAATATATTAATAACTAATAAATATGTTCATAACTCAGTGTCAAATCCTGCTAAAATGAAATTAAGTAAAAAAAGATTTTGTCTATTTAAATTTTTTATTTTCAAAACAATTTTTTAATCGATTTATGTATGAATTTCAGTTACAATGATTTTAAGATCTTTTTGATCTAATGCAATGTATTATTGCAGTTATCAATACAATTATATTTTTTGATAAATTTTAGATAAAATTCAGTTTCATAAAATTTAGAAAACTTCACTCATGTTTCTCACGAAATATTTATCGTCTTTTGCGTGATCGAGTAATCTGGAGACAGTGACCGATTTCGAACATACGTGCCGTACCGGCGGTCAATTATTTGGCGATGGAAATGTAAAGCGATAACGAATGTGCGAGCGGAAGGAACCCGTGGCGTGTGAACGGCTGCTGCATGTAGGTGAGCAAGTTGCTTAGCCAGTCTACGATGAACTGTTATATAGCATGCACATGGCATGCCGCCAGTCGCTCGTTGAAAAGCCATTTCTGGTGGCAATGCCAACGACGAAGGCGCTACGCTAGAAAACGCAACTCCGCAAAAAACGCAAGCGCCGAACTCGAGTTTCGAAGAACCCGATAGCGATCGAACATTTGAGAGGTTCATGGTACATATTTTCAACTCTGAAAAAAATGTAGTAAAGACACTAAAAGTGCCAAATCTGTTTTTGGTTTAAATCAGAATAACGCAGTAAAAATTTGCACTTGATTTATTCACAATAATATAAAAATATGTTATTATTATGTATTTATTTATTTCTGCGTTGATATACTTATATTTTTCTCTTCAACATCGTAATATTTTTTGAATGATAGTATTCTCATTTAGGAAATATCAAGACGCGAACATACACACCCAATTGTAATTTTTATAAGCATAAGAAATTTGGCTTAATTCCGAAAATCAATATTGTTTAAAAGTTATAAAAAATTTCAAAAACTTGCATCAGTAGAATACTGAGGTTCTCATTCCAAAATTAGGTACTTAATAAAAGAGAAAATTTTTAATTTATAGGTAAAAATTACATGTAGCATAATTGAGAAATTTCGATCCATCGAGATACCGAATAATTCGCAAGACGGAAACAACCGGAAAGTCCGAATTGGGAACGATTTCTCGTCGTCGATTCGCGTTCCGCTGTAATCGAGATCGGCCAATTTAAGATGTTTGGACCGCAATCGAATCAATGTGCGCTGTTCTATTTAGCCAAATGTGCAAGGTACGCTTAATTGTGGAAAGGAGTGGATCGATAACGAAATAACGAGTTATGGCGATAGATCGATAGGGAAAACTGGTTTTGATGCAACTTTGTGCCTAGACAATTCAGCGGACAATGCTTGAATATATTTTTTTCAATTGAATTATAATATATGTCAAAATGTTGCAGAAATTTCGCAAAGATCTAATTCGAATTAAGAAGAGATGATAATTCTTTCCCTTTCCTTAAAGTTAATTTTTTTGATATTTCATATTAAAAGATCGCAATCAACAATTAATTTTCTTTAATGTCTAAATAATAAATTTAAATAAAATGACATTTTAAAGTATTTTTCTAGCAATTAAGAGATAAAAAACTTAATTGCTTTTTCCAAAAGCTTAATAGTTTATTTTGTTATCTTCTTATAATTCATCTTTCTTCTTTTTTTTCTTCATATTTGAGAAAAGATGAACAATGCAAAAACTTCAGCTAAAAAGAACAAATATAAATTAAAAAATAAAAGGATTATTAGGTCACAGATATACGGTAAATGATAAAGCCAATTACTTTCTTTTATGTACTATTAAATGTAAGCATTACAATTATGACAAATAGCTATTTATTTTTAAAAATAATTTAATATACAAAATTATTTTCTCGACGTTAACTCGACTGTTAACACAATGGTTGACCATTTCACTCTACATTAAACGCGTTGGAATTCATGTCTTACTAAAGATGCGCTCAAGAACTTGCTACTTTCTCTCTGCCATTCTCCATCATCATCAATCTCTATCAGTTAATTACAATTGGCATGCAAGGCTGTATTATCAATGCCTTGTCTAATTTTGTATTATAGGACATGTCAAATTCTTTATCGATCACATTAGAAAATGAAAACAGTACTTTACATAGATGAAGCACCTATCGAAGAAGAGGAACGATTTGCAGATTAATCCGTCTGAAATATGAAGAACCATCAGTGGCTGTAGGTTACAAAAATAATTGCCACTCACGTACAGAAATTAGTCACGCTTATTATAATCACAGCAATTATTTTCATAGGCGGTGATCGTGGGCCGTCTGTTACATTTTACAGTTATGATTCAACTAATTGGTCTTTACGAAGGATGAGGCGTTGCTTGTAAATCGACCCGAATCTTAACGGAAGCGCCATTTTCAACGAATCTATGTCGAGTGCTGTTTAACTTAAAAATCAAGTCGTCATAATTCCTCGACTTAAGCCATGGAGAAGCTAGTAGACGTAACGGTGTAACATTACGTGTCTCATGTGCCATTTTGTTATTTCAGTAGTGCGCTAACAGAATATTTTTGAGATAAAAAAAAGATAAAATCCTCAAAATGATAAAAAGTCATAAATTATTACTACATATATTATTATTACATATGAAGCATCAAATATTTGATTTTTTTATCGCTATTTGTCTACTTTTATATTTTTTAATTTACTTTTAGTGCTAATGAATACTTTTAACATGTTCAAAAATTTTTTTATTTTTTATTTTTTAAATATATAATTTTTAAATATATTTTACATATTTTACATATTTTTAAATATATTTTAAATTAATATAAAAGAGTACAAGCATTTTTAATCATAAATATACTTGAGAGTTATAACAGTAAATATAAGCTTTTTACATGTAAATGCATATAAATATTTTCAAGTAATATTTTCAAGTATCTAAAATGTAATTTATAATTTATTTTGTAGTCTGTAAACTTATTTTGTTATCACTAAGAATCTTATACACACAAAACGAAGGTATTATAAATTCTGAGTTTACGGCCGGTGTAGTATTAAGAATTAACATGCGAAGATTTCTACGTAAAAAATAACATTATAAAAAGAAGACATTAATTATACTGTAATTATTATACAAAAAAATGTGTTCATAAATGCAATTTTTATATTAATTTTCGTACTAATGCATTTTAATTATTTGCTTTTGCACGTGGAATATCTTTGAGATTATACTAGATAGAAATTGATCTAATTTTGTCATTTTCTTCAGGAATATAAATCATAAATGTCAAAATATTTTATATATATTTCATATATTTTTTTATACAAAAGCAAGCCGAAGGTATATCGAAGAACAAACATCAAGATATTATAAATTTTTATCTTATCTTTTAAGCAACATGTTGCAAATCACATGCACACTATATAACACGTCAAATTAAATTAGTTTCATTATATTTGATATATTCTGTTTCGGGAACATTTAACTCGTCACCTAAATCGCGTCAATGTCCGATAGACACAACACCGTGATTCACTTGCGTTTTTATCATTATCTTCGCACGCATTTTGCACACCTCAACACTTCACTTTATTTCAATATGCGACCGAGAGTTATTTGATCATAGCAGAAGCAAAAAGCAGAAAGAAGGAAAAGAAGAAGAAACAAAAGCGGAAAGAAGATATCTTGACTAAGTTTACTCGATAGGAAAAGAGAACAAGAAACAAGATATAAGAAAATACAAAAAGTAATAAGAGAAAGAAAGAGGATATAAATTAAAGAAAATTAAACATTTCTAATTTCAAGAAAGAAACAAAATAAAACAACAGATTATAAGAAGGAATATTAAAATATGGAACGTGAATTTAATAATGTAAAGAAAAGAAATGAAAAGAAAGGAAAAGGGGGAGTAAAAGAGAAGACAATGGATAAGATAGGATACAGATCGTATATTGTGTCGGCTGTGTCTGAGATCCTGGGAAAAAGAAGAAAAAAGGAATCAAGATACGCGATGGACTCGGCAGCGTGTTAGTTGCGCGAAAAAGAAGAAGTAGATAGCAAGACGAAGGAGGCGCAACGAACGGCGCGGGAATGAAATGAAGGTAGAAGGGGTCGTTCACGGTGGAAGAAGAAAATACGGAGATGCGGCGAAAGCAGAAGTCAGGTAAAGAGAAAGAGAGAGAGAAAGAAAAAGAATCAGAGCAAAGAAGATGACTCACCGCTCCTTCTGGTGTTCCTAGTTGCTTGCTTGGTTGTGTCGCGTACGGAGAACGTGCCGGTCATGTGGACGAGCACTATCGCGAGCACGACGAGTGCCCGATGACCGTAGGACCTCATGCCGTCCTCTTACCAAGAGTACCGAATGGTAAAAAAAAAGGGGGAAACGGTAAACGAGATCGTAGACTCTCTCAGAACTCTCTACCGTCTTGAACGGACCTGCCGAGGCACTGCTGGCTCAGCGTCGACTGAGACGTACTTTGTGCTCGCCGCTCTATCAGCAGGACCGTCACTCCTCTCGGTACGTTTCACACCGCTCGTGTGTATCCCCCCAGGTAGGAAACTACCACCACAACGAACGGACGGAGTAAGTGTCGGGCAGGTTGTTGCTATTACCCGCCGCACAATGGGCCCCCACACTCTTATCACCCAAATTTTAATTCCAGCGATGCCACCGCGGTATCGGTCACCGCCAACTTTTCCTCTCGTATCCACGCACGGATCCTGCACACTTATTTAAAACCTATCGCTCCACCTCGCGCTCCTTACCATTGGCTCCTGCCCCAATTCTTTACCCAATAGTACTCTCTCGCGCGCGTTCACCTCCTTTTTCAGATCGACGATGGTGGCGGTGATCGCGGGCTTGAGTGGAGAGAGAGAGAGAGAGAGAGAGAGAGAGAGAGACAGAGAGAAAGGTGGCGGCTGGAGATCGGGTGGAGAAGTAGACAAGATAGTAGGTGGTAAAGTCCCCCGATTTTAGCCAAGATGGTGAAATAGTATTGTCAGGCGTTATACGTGACGATAACGAACTTCTCGAGTTCGCGGTTGAAATTTTCCCCTCTTTCGCGTATTCGCGCGCGCCGATCGCGGTCGACGAAGGTGAAGGGGGTTTTAAGTGGGGTTCGCGTGCGAGCCATCTAAAACCAAAATCGGGCTGACACCGCTCGATTCTCTTTCCGCGTCTCCATATAACTGATTTAGAATATCGCAAAACTGTCGGACTGTTTGTCTGTGTTTTCGTTACGATCGAAACAGAAAATATGACCGTTGTGCGTCTATTCTTAGAAAAGACCACGAGGGAAACACGACTTCTGCAACACAATTTTACTCATATGGGGAAAACCAATGAGGGACTCTGATGTATGGACAAGGTCGAGGTGAAAATTGGCAAACGCCAATGTAACCCACTACACGCGTTACCATTTTATTATTCTATTCGTATCGATGAACGATAGCAGAATAAACTATTACTAAAATACATAAATGAATAAATATAAGCTGGTACAGTACTTACAAAATATAAGAAAAAATAGTGTGTAGTTTTCTTGTATAATATGTATAATATGTATGCATTGCGTTTTTAAAAATAAAAAAAGATAGAAAAGAAAGAAAAAGATAATATAACAAAAGATAATATAACAATTATTTTTGTTAATTTATTAATATTTTATTTAAAAAATATCGGATTAAAAATGCCAAAGTGTTCTTCTCAGTACTCTATAATGAGTGTAATCTAGAAGAGTGAATTAATTTTAATTTTGAATTGTATGTATAAATCCGCATTTGTGGTATTAATATATATGTGTCCAAAAAAATGAGGGATACATAAAAATAATAGATGAAAGATAAAGTTGCTGAAGAAAGAAATTTATGGATTGCGTATTAAAAAATGAGCACAAAATAAATTGTTTAGAGTAAGCATACTGGTGAACGTCGCGATGGAATTTATTCCAAGGCTTTCTTGACTTACCACGTCGCACCGATCGTTTGGCGAACGCGTGCTCCAACGCTCATGGACTGCGATATGGCGCAGCCACCGGCACATGCTGTGCAATATCAAGACAGCGCACTTTCCTATTTTACCTTTCGATTTCGCCCATGTATTCAAGACTATTTCGATTATAATCATCTCGACACACCCAAGTCTTGATACCTTGACGTACCTTGGCAATGAGCAACGATTCACTGGTTAGATTGCCTTACCTTGGCACTTTTTTTCTACAATCGGTATTTTATGCTTACGAAAATTTATTACTGACTTTTGATCTGCGTTACTAATCAATAATTATTCAATTTTATGGTGAAGTTTTTGTGTCCAGATATGCAGAAGATTGCGTTTTCGATATACTTGATTAACTATTGCATCATATCATCCTTAAAATCGATCATAATGCTATTAAAAATGACACCAGTTATCCATTCTATAAATTTTAAAATTTATTGCTTTTATCAAAAATATTAATTTTATGCGATTAATGAAATATATAAATTTTAATTCTCCAAGAAAAATATGTTTTAAATTAATAAGTATATCAAAATGTTAAATAGAAATATTTCAAATCGTTAAGTTCAAATGATATATGTATCTATATATATATATATATATATATACATACATAATTATTTATTTAATCGTACAGTTATTTTTTTAATATGTAAAATAATTACTAATACTCAAGTAACATGATAATTTACACGATTTGTTAACATAATTTGTATGTAAGAGTATGTTATTTATTTATTTATATTTACTTGTACAATATTTATTATTATTGTTTTCTGAATCTATTTTGAAAAATCACAATAACGAATTACTTTTGCACAATTTTAAAAAGTTTAAAGTTTTAATAATATGTTTTTTTAAAAAGTATTTATACTTAATATTAAATTATAATTCTCTTAAAATATATATTAATGAAGCTATAAGACATTAATGTATCTTTTATTAAACTTATCTTTAATGCAAATGACTTTCGCACGTGTATTCGTACACGTGTCATTTCATGATAAAATTGTTTATCAGTTATTGTAATTTAAGCTAGGTAATTAGACATTATAATTAATGATTATCGTGAATTATTTTTTCGAATCGTGAATTATTTTTACGACAATAAAAGTGCATGATAAAAAAAAGAACAGTAATGATAAAATTGCTATGTAATTAATTCTTTTAAACTTAGTTATTTCTTTTAAAATTATTGATATTCTTTAGTGCTATTTTTGATTATTGTTTATATTTTTAAAAAAATTTTTATTTACAAGTTTTTATTATTATTTTAATTGTTTATTTTAATCTTACTGAAATAATATTTCAGGAATGTTTGTGAAATGATTTCGGATATTCTTTCAAATCCTATTTCTTTGAGTCATTTATATCGTACCATCGCTATCGATAATTAATAATATGACACTGCTTAATTGATTGATCGATTAATGACAATTACGTGAGGTTATGGGAATCACGTCCGTTCATGCAAAACTAATTAGTAATGCGCCTTCGTAATTGAGTAATGTTTCCAATCGGTCGGTCATGCTTCCCGGACCAAATAAGACTGACATTTACGGTATCAATTTCAATTGTTCGTCGTCCTTCAGATCTTATTAAGCACCGACGATGAGTTGCTCGCGCAACGCGGAAACTTACTACACTTGTCAGTGGACCCAAGCGTGTTAAAAGGATTTGTCACGGTGGGACAGGTGTGACGATGTTGTGTATTCATTGGCGTGATCCCAAGTAGCAACCGCCACACATAGTGGAACACTTTCCCCGGTGGATGGCCCATCTATCGCATCGTCGTCGTTGACAAGGGGAAAGATGAGTGCGCGAGAAAGCTGATAGATTAAAAAATTCACTATTGATAATGGCTAATTGTCACGATTTATTAACTTTACTTATATTTATATTTTTATTATGCATTTGATTGTTCGCAAGACAATACATTAAAAAATACAAATGTTCGCCACGACGATAGCCATAAAAGAAAGAGGATTCTCACAAAAAGAAAATAATACACTTTTTTCTATCTAGACAAATAAAATATCTAAATCAAAGACATGAAAAAAGTTTTTGCTATATATCAAAAAAATGTTTGAATCGATTAAAAACCTATTTTACTTGAAATGTTCGTTCGTTTGATGTACAGCAATTTTGACAAGCGTTATTCGCGAAACAGGAAATAACAGCGAAAAAAGTACAATGCTCAATGACAAGCCTGTGCTTTTACCGAGACGAAAGCGATCGATTTGATTGCACATCTCTCGCCGAGTGAAACGTGTTTTGCACCGGCACGCGACGCATCCTAATGCATTTGCACTAGTCTCTTTCTTTTCGTGAGGATTCTCGTGCGGTTTCCGCTTGTCTATTATCATCGTCGCCTCATTGCACCGTGACTGATTCACGATTCACTGCCATCGTGATTCTTGGTAGAAATTGAAAGGGAATTCATATATTAACGCGTCGGGAAACTATGTAATGCCTTGTTGCTTTACTCTGTCGTCGCACTTTTCAACAGAGCGGTCGTTCGGTTGCACTGAAAAGTGCCGGGTTTCGTTTGCCCGTCGCATGAAGGTGTCGTGCGAACGGGTGAACGGAATCGAGCGGCGCTGCTCGATAAGTCTCGATTGCTTTTCCGATTTTTGTCACGCATAACTTGCTGCGCAAGGACGTCGTCTGGAGCAGTGCATTTCAAAGCGTCTGTAACGAATTGTTAGAGAAAAGAAAATTAGAAATCATAGCAGTTAAGAAGGCTGTTGAAGTGCGGTCAGTTTATAAATATATTAATAATTTATAAGTATTCAAAAAAGTAAAGATGTGAGAACGAACTCAAAATATAAAACGGAGTATTTTAAAAATTTTAATTTTTAACAAAAGAAAGATCTAAAAAGGTTCAATACATAATAATCTACATAATTTATAATGTTACAAAAACGCAAAGAAATTTTAGTTTATGAGTAATAATTGATAACATTATAACATATTAGATGATTTGAGAAACACTGTTTGAATGACAGATTTGTTTATCAAGAGAGTGGATAAGTTTTGCTAAGAATTTGAATGTGTTTTTTATTCATATTAACGAAGTTTTTTTACATACCCTCACGTAAAAGGTGCGTATATTATTAAATCAAATCAAAAGGAATGGTATTATAATTTTTATTTATGTAAAAATGGAAGCATTTATTGAATAAATATAAAATTATAATTTTTATCAAGCAGTAAATGTATGTGAAAAAACTCATAAAGATACTTAAGGATTCCAATAAATGTGACTTTTCTGAAAGTTTTATTATTATTATTTGCAAGTATTATATGTAGATTATATCATACATATATCTTATAATTAAAAAAGTGTATGCTCATGTCTTAAATATTTACAAACAAAATCATATTTCATATAAATTTTTTGTTACATATTTGATATTCTTCATTCATGTAAATTATGAATTACATAGATTTAATGTGTAAAAATCAATATGAAGTAAATTGCACTCAATTTCTGCGATTATTACATCTGTTTAATTTAATTTTTTGCAATTAGTTAATAATATTAGTAGAATATTAATAAAATATTTACATTTGTTTGCTCATGGCTCACGCTTACATTATATAAAACTACAGTTCGAAACTACTTATAAATATCTCTTATCATTTTATTTCTTTATCAAAATAATAATTATAAAATAACAATGACATTTTATTTTTGCATTATATAAGAATTGTTCTTAAAAAATAACAATTCGTTGCAAATGAAGGAATTGAGAAACAGTCGAGGAAATCATGAAAGCGTATTCGGGAAAATCGCAATGCAGATTACGTTCTTACGAACTACGAGAATATAAAAGTGAACAGTTAAATCAAATTTACACAGATACGTAGCGGCGCTACGAATCAATTAGTACTTTCACTGATCCGAATTTCGTGAAAAAGTATTTCGCCGCCTTGCCTCGGTTTATAGGCACGCTGAGTTTTTGTTCGTGTGAAAGTTTACTTTGCAATGAACAACGTCTTTTCTTTTTTTATTGTAGTTTAATCGTTTGATTGTTTGTCTTGGAATGCATATTCGTGTGGTGAGGAGAAATGCCTCGTTTGGAGGAAAAACAATATATGCATAATAATTATAGATTATTGACCGAAAAATATTTTTACAAATATGTAAAAGGATTAAATTGCAAAAGTTTATTAATAAATCTTATTAAATGAGAAGTATTTTCTTTCTAAACAGAAAAAACATACTTATATAGAAGAAACTAACATAAATAAATAGTTTAAACGACTTAAAAAAGCAATAATTTGTGACAATAAATTTTAAATATCTAATTTTTTTTAAATTTTTTTATATTCAAAAAAACTTCTTTTAAATTATTTTTAATTAATTTTAAATAATTTGATAAGATTAAATGTATTTTAAATATATAAATAATATAAATTATCATCATAGGTTAATTAATATTATTGAAGTATAATATTTATTGAAGTACGCAGAATGGAATAGAATGCTTCAAATTTTTTA